ATTTTCAGGCCCATCCTGGTTTGGCAATTCGATTTGTAGGTCGGCGGAACAATAGGGTAGCCCATTTGGTGGCTAAAAAGGCCATTTCTTTGTACCCGGCTATGAGTCGGCACTTTGATTATCGAAACTGGCTTGCTTCCAGGATGTAACTATTGTTTGCTAATATCAATATATGATTATCTTTTGTAAAAAAAAAAAATACTTTGCCCTCAGAAGATCCTCTATAATGTGGAGTGTTTATTTATTCTCATTTTACTCTCTACGGACTTAGAAAGAGGAGCCAAAAAAAAAGGTGTGGCCTGTTAATTATGAGCTAGTCTTTGTTATGATATTTCCTTTCGAGAAGGACTGTAGGAGGTGGAAACCCTACGACAAAACGGCCGCGATATACCAAACAGGGAGAAGAAGAACCACGATCGAGCGAAAGGCCAAGTTATGGAATGCCGACCTGATCCGCCGTCGGCGTCATCACCAGCGCTTATAAATCCGGCGTAAGGAGAAGAGAAACGACCGGATGTGGGAGAGCTCTATGCTATGGAGGAGGAGGAGGAAGAGGAGGACGAGTTGCCTGATAAAGAACCAGGGGGTGCTTTTGATCAGAATACGCAGCTCACACACACAATCGAACCATAGATGATGGATAGGAAAAATTCTCGCCACAATCGAGGTGATTAATCGATTGATAAGAGAACTTGCTAAACAATTCTGGAATCCACTCAGAATAGCTTCACAAGGGTCTTGTAATTAGCTAAGGAATCCACTCGTAGCTAATGACAATGGGTAAACTCTCGAGTAGGGATGGCAATTTCGACCAGACCCGTTTTACCCGACCTGTTTGACTTGTTTTGGGGCGGGTCCGACCTGCCCCGTAGGCGGGGCGGGGCGGGCATGGGTAGTCTCATCGACCCGACCTGCCCTGACCCGCCCCATTCTCGACCCGTTCTTGTCTAAATTACATGTAATCTTAGTCAAATTACTTAGAATTTTCCTTTTATTGCTTCATATTTTGGCTATAATAAAGTTGTAAATTAGTAAAAATCTCAATTTCTCCAATAATTTAACTACAATTGTCATAATATTATTTTTTTCTTAGTCTTATAATAAAAATAACGAATATTTCTAATGTTTTCATATAAATTGCATACCCATTGGGTCGACCTGCCCCGACCCGTGACCCGTGATCAATTACCCGACCTGGACCCGACCTGCCATGGGGCGGGTCTGGGTACCAAGAAACCCGCCCCGGACCTGCCCCATTGTCATTCCGACTCTCGAGACGCAACTCAAGAACTCAAACACTCGGTTTGTATTCAATTCAATCAACTCTGCTTTACAACGTGAATTGGAAAGGTATTTAAAGACAATAAACCCTAATACAACCCTACATGAACAAGGAAACTAATTAGAACAGGAATAGGCTAAAGAATTCGAGTAAAACAAGGTAACTTGCTAGCCAAGAAACTGACTTAAAACGCAAGCAAGTCTGCCCAGGAAAACAGGCTTCATAGCATCTTTGAGCCCTTTGAAAATGGTCTTCTAGGTTGATTCGAACTCAACCAATTCCTTGCCTTTGTATAAGAAAACTTCCTATTTCATCTCCAATATGAATCAGCCTGAGATCATGCTCCTAACTCCAGATATAGGCCTTCAAAGTTGGTATCTCAACACAGTTTTCTGCCTTAGCCATTTTCTGGCAGTTTTCCAGTTTTGAGGTAGCAACTTTGAGGCCTTGGAAAACAACCTTAATGACATCATTTGGCTCCACAAAGCATATCATTGGAAACATGGAAACTTTATCTACAAAACAAACCCTTAACCTTGAATTTCCACTAAACCAATTGAGAGAACCATGCCTCCAAAGTATGTACCCTGAACACGAATTTTGACAGCCAAATTCTGCCCTTCTTCTTCCCAACTTCGTTAGCTTCTTCGTCAAGTAAATTAAACGTGTATAGTTGACCATTTGGGATCATATCAGACCCTCCCTCTTTAAAAAGTGTTGCCCTCAACACTTTGGCCTTTCTTTGATCAAATCGTACACAGAATTGATCCCAAATTGGATCGAAAGATGGCTGCTCAAACTTCCTTTTCTACAGAATTTCAACAACTTCAACTTCAACTACGATCGGTGTCATGGACTTTGAAGCTTGTAGTGTTGTTGTTAAATCTTCCTGGGCTCTAACAGAACCTTCCTCGACGATCAATTTCACCTGAACGCGATCAGAAAATTTTCCAGGTCGTCGGACTTCTTTAGCGTACCTGTTCTTGCTCGAATGAATTGGGGGTTTTCGTTTCGACGATTTCCAGTCCAATTGAACCACTCCACGCTCTTCGCCAGACTTCCAATTGAAGCTTTGAACCATTCCCCAGTCTCGATTCATCACCATTGTCGACGAATCTTCAACTTCGCCTTTCCCGCCGTTGGCCGTTTTCAAATTCTGGAAACCCATAATTTTCAATTGGAAATTGGGCGTTTGTTGTTCGATCCTCTTCGCGTCGAATTGATGGATGCTACACGTTCCTTGGACCTCCATGAATGGGTTTGACGGGTTAAATTTGCTCCAATCGAGCTGGTTTGCTCTACCCAATAGAGGGTCCTTGTTGGCTGTGTTCTTCACGAACAGAGGTGGTTTTGCGCGAATCAGATCTCCATTTCCAGGTATGTTCAATTCCAATTGGTTCACTTTTGACGATTCTGGGGTCTGAAATAATGATTCTGAATCATCGCCATAATTCGACTCGTCCCCAGTTGGCCTGCCCACAAGAGCCCTGTCTTCGTTCTGTTTCCTGGTTACGAAACAGGGAAATCGAGCTAAATGTTGATCTTTCACGTTCGCTGGATTCGAGTCGATCCAGCCTATGGGTAAGATTCCTGGGGTCTTTTGGAACGTTTCGACAGCGCTATTAGAGGTCGGCTCGGCCCCTAGTGCTCCGACCAATCCACTAGCATCGTGCTCGGTTTTGAGCATATTCAGAGCACTCTCTAGTCGATTTTGATTCCGATGAATAGAAGGATTAGTTGCCATTGGATTGAGGTGAGAGCTTCCTGCGGAGGATTGGAATGTGTCGGCCTCCTTGGTGGTGGTCTTAGTGATCTCCAGAGCTCCACCCGATACTCCCTCTCTCTTGCTCTGTTTCGACGGAGAACGGGGATGTTCTGCTGCTCGCTTCTCCGAGTTGATTCGCGCATCGACACCTGGTTCAGGGGCTTCTACTCGAGCTCCAATACCTCCATCAACATCCACAGATGCGTTGCTGGCCGATTTGTGCACCGGCGTTGCCTCTTCGTCGTCAGCAAAGCTGTTGGCTTCGATGCTCTGTTTTTTCGGCGAAAAACAGGGACTGTCTTGCTCTGGCTGGGTCTTTGCTTGATCGACCTTCCATGGCCATGGTTTCGCTAGTATAGCCTTCTGATACTCCTCTTGGAGTCATTGTAGCTCCTGCAAATCATTGGCAGCTTCTTCTGGAGCCAACGGGGTCATGCGAATACTTGGTTTCGTCTCCGAATTCGAAACTTCTTGCTCCGTCGGCTTTCAAAATAAACTTGACGTTTCCTGAACCATGGCTGACCCAATACGATGCTGCTGGGGAGGTTATATATCACATCACACGTAATATGATCCTCGTACTGGCCTATCGAAAACTTCACATTCACCTGAGATACTACGATGCCGAATCTGTTTTCGTATGGTGATTCGAAAACATAGGGCTTCGGAATCATCTGCGTTTGCAGACCTAGCTTGCTCACAACTCGAGAGGAAATCAAATTCCTCTCCCTGCCTCCATCCAAGAGAACTAAAAACAGCTGCTCCTCGATTAAGCAACGCGTGAAGATCATGGAATTGGCTAACTCTGATGCCGCCATTGCTACTCTGCTTTCCTCTGATTTCACTACAAGAATTTGCCCATACAGCTATGGAACTGTTTGTGGCTAAAATGTCAAATTTGCGTGGCTAAATTATATAGCCACATAATTTTTATTTTGTAGCTTGCGTAGCTAGAAGTGGCGCAGCTAAAAGTTAGCCACACATTTTTCCAATTACGTAGCTAACAACCAATGCATTTAGCTATAAAAGAAACATAATATAGCTGAAAGTCTTGCCACAAAGTGGATATTATGTAGCTAGATCATGAAGATTTTTTGCTACTAAGAATATAATTTGTTGCTTTATCAAGCATTTTGCTACGCATTCATAATTTGAAACTAAAGAACGATAGTTTTTGCCACGCATTTAGCTATAGATTTTGCCACCAATTATCTTCACACTATAACAAAGTATGTTTTACTACCAAAAGAGTCGTGGCTATAAAATTTACTAATAGCTTACAAAATCCTTAACATGGCTATAATGTTTATGTTTTTGCTACCAATTATTTTGTAACTGTAGATGAAGTATTCTTGCTACGGTGTAATCATCGTGGCCAAAAGAAATCAAGATTTAGCATTATGTATGCAAGTTGTGGCAACAAAATCTATTTTATGCTACTAGTAATTCCATAGCTAAATTTTTTGTTTTTGCTTCATAAAATTCTACATGTGGCACAAGTTATAAAACATTTGCCATAAACTACTTTGTAGCTATATATTTTGCTGCAGTTGGGTACACAGCTATATTATTAGTCGCTATATATATTGAAAAATTTAGCCATGAAATGAATTTTGTGGCTGTAATTTTTTTTTAACCACAATGAAGCTTAGAATTTATTTGTTTAAATGATTTTTTCAAAATTAAATGTATTTAAATTGTTTGTTGTGGTGGGAAATATAATGATTGCATTACATGACTATGTATAGACGTGGCTGCATATCATGTTATTGTTAGTTGTAGGCTTAGACTATTGATCACACATCCACGAAATAATATAAATAAATTCAGCACATGAGGCATGATCCGGAAACATAATAAAAAAACATAATGACTAATCTGAAAAGTTATTATCAAATAGAAGCAAAAAGCCAAAAACATAAAATCGATAGTCCAAAGTCTAAACTGATAATCATCCTAAAAAGTGCTACACCCCTCGAAGAATTGCAATGATGAAATCTCTAGAATTCGTTCAGATTATTCACTCTCTGTCACCTGCAAAAATTGAGTAATGCACAAGTGAAAAGACAAGAAGATGAAGATCAAACATAAACAATTTAAAAATTCTCACTTACTTCCTCATTAGACTCATCTCTTGGTGCTGAAGATCTTGTATTAGAAAGTAGGATTTGAAACTTTTCTTCCCATTTCTTGTTCATATCAGCCATTTGTTTCTCAACGTCTCTGGTTATCTTATCTACTCGTTCATTGGCTTCCTTTTTGGCTTGTTCCACTTGTTCACTCGCTTCTTTTCTAGCAGCTTCTACTTGTTTTATAAGTGCAGCTTTGGTTGGTTTAACACCAAAGAATTCGGTCACGCCTTTTCCAGGTCCATAAGCTCTCACATAGCCATTCTTCTCAGGTCCTAGAACCTTTTCAAACATTTCTTCATCATTCATAGAAACAACTCCTTCAGCTCTTTGTTTCTTCAATTGATCAAGTTGAGACTGCGTTAGAAAGATGAAAACAACAATCAATCGTTGAGTAGAAACTGAACTGAAAGAAACAAATTACGTAATTGATATGTAATGAAATAACCAATGTTTTGATCTTTTAAATAAAAGTTCTCTTACAATCACATCTTGGGAGTCAGGGTCTATAGCCTTTCCTTTCTTTCTCTTACGTGATTCAATCCAAACCTCAACACGAGAAGGAACAGTTCCATTTTGTTTTTTCTGAAAAGGAAATAGGGATTATTAGCTTAGAATAAAATAAAGTATGATATAAATAATTGAATATTCTTATAACATAAATGTACCATTTGGTGTCTAAGTCGAGCAAGACTTTTTGTGCCTGTGTAGGGTGGCATTGAACGTTTTGATCTATTCTCTTTATTTTTCAAACTCCTTTCCTGAAAAAACGAAACCAATGTTTAATACACATAGGAAAAAAACTATTCGAGAACTTATATAATTTATCTTGCATAAAATTATTAAACATAATACCTGGAAAGTTGGATCGCTCCATAAGTTAACAAGATACTTCCAATCATCTTTTGAGACTCTTTTTGGCCTATTCTTCAAGCGACTTTTGTAACTATGTTTCTTGTTGAAATATTTCTGCTTCAACTTTTGCCTATGATCCCGATATAATGCATTCATGTGACCGATGATTGCTTCCATCCTTCCCATTGGTAATTCAAATGTAAACTTCTCCTAAAAAATGTGAGAATAATATTAAATAAGAATTGAGATATGATTTATCTGCAAGTTAGTAAATAATTAAAAAAAATCAAGTAAGAATTTGATTACCTGTACAATTGCCCACATATGCTCGATAGCATCATTACTAATATCCTTCCATCTTTTCACTTGTAAAGGACAACATGATCGATTTCGAACCGTTACTCCCAAGAACCAAACAAAACTTGTTGCGTTTTCTCCAATTGCTTGATGATCTTCATCAAAATCTACTGGCAGCTTTCTTCCTTCCTCTAACTCAATAATTTTCATACATCGTGTGGGTCCTCGCGTTTTCTTTTTCTTCAAATGCGAACCTTCTGTTGAGAAGGTAAAATAAATAATTAAATAGGATTCTGAAAATACCTTATCAATCGGACTGCTATATGAAAAAGCAAATATATAATTATGTCTTTGAGATGGAAAGGTGTATATATAATATACCTGAGGGATTAAGCTCCGATTCTTGTACAGTTGATGGCTGAATTGGATCATGGGGATCACTGTCCAGAGGAATCTCTTCTCCCATGCTTTCATTTGGCAAAATATCATGTTTTCTTGACAATGTGTATATCTCAAATGTAGATAGCATGTGTTTCTTATAAGAGGACAACATGGATGAAACATCATCATCATCATTCACACGTACAAGCCCATTCAAGTCACTAATAGGAGTTCTTGGTTTAAGATAATAAAACTTATCTCCATCAAGAATGTTAAAGCCACATGCCTTAAGGTCATCCAGGATAGTGAAATAACAGAGGAAATCCACCTCATGGCCATCTTTTACCATCTCACTCCCCCCTGTGTACTGCCTACGAGGTGAAAATGTGAAATGACCTCCATAATGATACTTGATTGTTAATTCTTGGGCATTAAAATTTCCTACAATGAGCATACCAGAGAAACAATAGCTAGTAAGACATCCTGACAATTAAGTATTTAAACGTGCAATTTAATTAAGTATAAGTGAAAACAAAAGCATACTTGGTGAAGGTATGTCACTTGCTGGGTTTTCAGGAGAAGTAGGAACTGAAGAGTCCCTTAAAGTTGGAGGAATTTCATTGGACGAATGAGATTGGCTCACAATATTATGTTCTGAATCTTCTTCAACTTGGTTTTCATTACTGTTTTGATTCACCTGCCTTTTCCTTTTCCGGAGACCTCCACACCTCGGCATTGTTGAAGATAGACCTGTAAAAGTAATTTCTAAATTATCAACAAGGCCAATTGTACTCAAAGGCCATGCGTATAAATAGAATGCAGGGGCCGGTCGGCGATTTCAATTTTGTTTCTCCTCGTTTGTATATATAATATAAACTAATAAGATAAACAATATATTGACCTTGCTTTAACCTGATTTTAGAAGACAAGGATTTATGTTAGCTTCCAAAGAGTAATCAATAAAAGTACCAATCCAGAAATATTGAGCCGATAACAAGAACAAAAGAAAAAGGGATGAGGGTCATTAAGATATGACATCCAGGTACATATGCATATATGCACGGTCAACCCTTTTTGGCTACGAAATACATTGAGAATTGAGAAAACCCTTTTGTGATCGATAGAAACTTAAGCAACAATTAAGATTATACTAAATGCGCAGTATCAATTACCTTGGTAATAGTTTCAGCTTCTAGGAATACAAGTGCTCTATCAGAAGTCTTTCGGAAAGCTTGAGTGGAAGAAACCATGATGATTTATATAGTGAGTAAGTTCTCAAAATTTGCTTTCCCGCTGTAAACTTCCGCCCTAAACTTTTAATTTTCAAGAGTCCGCTCAATTTTTTGCCCACGAATCTGTTTAAGGAGAAATATCAAAAGAGGGTTGTGCGGCTCTTGAAAGATAATGTTTACAAGGAAAAAGAAAACCAATTACCTATTTGAAATAGGATACCCAAAATGGGTAACGTCATTGATTTTAGCTTTATTTGTGCTAACCAAATTACCTTTTTCTAAATTAATATTTTGCAGTAATTACCCGTTAGGCAATATCAGTAAAAACTATTGGTAAAAAAGGATTTAGTTAACAAATATAGTGGCCGAATCTCCTAGAATTTTGATTCAATATTAATAAGTCCAAACTATAAAGGACTTTCATAGATAAACGAGCTAATGCTTTTAGTCTAAAGATAACTGAGTTACTAAATCTTGGTATAAATGAATTAAATAAATTTGGATGTGGCTAAAAGTCATTGGCCACAGACCATTTGATTTGAAACTAAATTGGCATTACGATAAGCTACAAATAATAATATACATGACAAAAAATCAATTTCGGCCACAATTTTTATTAAGTGGCTGCAAGTAATATGATTGTAAAATTATTGCCATGAATAAAAACTTGGAGGCAATAAACTTATAAGTAGCTTTGATTTTTACTGGTAGCAGAAACTTTTGTAGCTAAAGTACTCAAAATTGCCACGATACTTATGGCTCAAAACTAAAAATATCTATTAGCTTTGAAATTTTACTTATGTGGCCGTATAATCTAATCAAATTATGATTAGCTACGTCATAACATTCATTGTGGCTATTTTCGTACCTCTTGCCACACTTCAAATCATCGTGGCAATGAATTTGTGGCAATATGTGATGTTTCTTGTAGTGTTTTTTTTTTTTTGCGATTTAATTCGACAAATACAGCCTCGATCAATCCTTCTCGCCACTGACTTGAACCTAAGGCTCTAATGCCACTTGATAAAGAACCAGGGGGGTGCTTTTGATCAGAATACGCAGCTCACACACACAATCGAACGATAGATGATGGATAGATAAAATTCTCGCCACAATCGAGGTGATTAATCGATTGATAAGAGAACTTGCTAAACGATTCTGGAATCCACTCAGAATAGCTTCACAAGGGTCTTGTAATTAGCTAAGGAATCCACTCGTAGCTAATGACAATGGGTAAACTCTCGAGACGCAACTCAAGAACTCAAACACTCGGTTTGTATTCAATTCAATCAACTCTGCTTTACAACGTGAATTGGAAAGGTATTTAAAGACAATAAACCCTAATACAACCCTACATGAACAAGGAAACTAATTAGAACAGGAATAGGCTAAAGAATTCGAGTAAAACAAGGTAACTTGCTAGCCAAGAAACTGACTTAAAACGCAAGCAAGTCTGCCCAGGAAAACAGGCTTCATAGCATCTTTGAGCCCTTCGAAAATGGTCTTCTAGGTTGATTCGAACTCAACCAATTTCTTGCCTTTGTATAAAAAAACTTCCTATTTCATCTCCAACTTGAATCAGCCTGAGATCATGCTCCAAACTCCAGATATAGGCCTTCAAAGTTGGTATCTCAACACAGTTTTCTGCCTTAGCCATTTTCTGGCAGTTTTCCAGTTTTGAGGTAGCAACTTTGAGGCCTTGGAAAACAATCTAAATGACATCATATGGCTCCACAAATCATATCATTGGAAACATGGAACCTTTATCTACAAAATAAACCCTTAACCTTGAATTTCCACCAAACCAATTGAGAGAACCATGCCTCCAAAGTATGTACCCTGAACACGGATTTTGACTTAGCCAAATTCTGCCCTTCTTCTTCCCAACTTCGTTAGCTTCCTAAGACAATGATCCATTCCAAGTGCTGCAAATTAGGGAAAAGCATCTGGAATCACCTGCATTACCTTCCTTGAGTAACTGCAGTCAAAAAACAAGTGATCCCTTGATTCAGGGCCACTTTTACATAGTGTACAAAGATTTATAACCATCCTGCTCCACTTCTGAATCTAGTCTAAAGTCGAAACTCTATCCTGAATGATCAGCCAGCCGATGATCTTATCCCGTGGTAGACACAGCGATCGCCAAACCAGCTTACTCCCTCGAACCTGTAGATGTTCTTCAGCTAGTAGTCTAGCTTTCAAAACTTTCCTCCAAGACCGGGAGCAGTTTACTCTAGGGGGAATACACCATATGGAAGTGTAAGAGAGTTGATACCTTCTTACCCAGCTCGCCCAAAGTGAGAAAGAGTTCGACACTATCGCCCATAAGTGTCTTATTAAGCAAGCTGTGTTCCAACTCCGCAGATCTTTAAACCCCAAACCTCCTTCAGATTTTGGTAGAAAAACCTTTTCCAATTTGATATTGGCTTTCTTCCCTTCTCTTCCGAACCCCAAGGTAATCAGAACAAGCTTTTTCTATATGCTTTATCACTTTTACAGGTAGCTGAATTATAGTTATCCAGTATTGCGTTATACTAGCAATGATTGAAGTAACCAACTGCAGTTTCCAGCAAAAGATAGCTTTCTTAGTCTCCAACCCCTAATTAGAGCAGTAATATTGTCAACAAGGACTTTGCAATCCATAGAATTGAGCTTCGCAACCACTAAAGGAATTCCCAAATATCTAACAGGTAACCTGCCAATCTCGAAACCTGTAGCCTCTGTGATAAGCTTCTGCGTTTCATCATCCATACCAGCACATAATATATCGCTTTTAGAAGGATTACATTTCAGCCCTGAAATCTCATAAAAAGCATTCAGAATCCTCTTTGTAACCCCTACTGCTTCAGAGGTTCCCTTCGTGAAGATCAACAGATCATCCGCGAAGCATAAATGGGTAAGCTCAATCATGTGAGTCTGTGGATGTGGGCTAAAAACTTTAACACTTAGGGCTCTGTTCAACATTCTCGACAGGACTTCCATTACTATTGTGAAGATATAAGGGGAGAGCGGATCCACTTGTCTCAGCCCCTTTCGTGCTGGGAAGTATCCACAAAGGCTTTCATTAAAACTAACACTCAGTCTAGTGCTGTGAAGACAGACTTCAATCCATTTAATGATTTGATCAGGGAACCCCATAGCAGCTAGGTCAGTGGTTAGAAAATGTCAATCTACGCTATCAAATGTCTTCATTCATCTACTTTTAGGGCGCATCTAGGGGATATCGTTTTCCTATTGTACATTTTCAACATCTCATGTGCTAACATGATTTTATCACTAATCAATCTGCCCTTGATGAAAGCAGATTGATTTTGGAGCACTTCTACTATGCTATATAGTATTGGTGCTTTAATGTACAATTTAAAGTTGTACCATAACATTAAATATATAAGTTTAGGTTGTACCATAAAGCAATTTGTACCCTTATATTATGGTACAACTTTACAACTTGAAGTTGTACCATCACATAAAGGTACAAGTTCAAGTTGTACCATAAAAGAATTTGTACAAAAAGTATAGGTACAATCTGAAGTTGTACCATAACGTAAATATACAATTTTAAGTTGTACCATAAAGGCAAAAACCTATAGCACCAATACTATATAGCATTGTAAAATTTCTCTTGATTTTGACTAATAACAAAAGGCAAAACCTCCTTAACCCTATTCGCTAAGACTTTCGAAATGCACTTGTAAATTTATAGTAAATTTATTTGCTTTGCAGACTCTGTCAGAGTCCATCTTCTCTTGCCCTTCTTCTCGCAGCCTCGTGATGAGAAATTAAGATGGGATCTGTTGTCTCCTATACGATATATACATATCATGGTAGCAAGGTATTGTTTTTCACTTCTGAGTCGTCTCTTCCCAGTCATTCCATCTATCCTTATCTCCTTCCTCTGCCTTGTTAGTTTTTGCTTCGTTTCATCTTTGATACAAAATGCTTCCATTTATTTATTTCAGTATATGCAGCCTTTGAACTGCTCAAGGGATTTAGTCATAGAAACAAAGATTTAACTCGATAATTCCTCGATTTGTGTGAGTCGTACTCTCTTTATGTACTTTTGTTCATTGTGATTAGGTTTTGGTAGTTGGGTATTTTTCAGTTTCTTGTTCATAAACCCAAAAGCGAAAAATTACCCACGCCCTATGTTCTTGCAGGAGCAGGAGTCGATGGTATAATGGAGTTGGTGAGACAAATACAGAACGAGGATCTAGTTTTTCAAAGCCGCTCGAGGTCATGACGGGAAGTCAATGTGTACGTATGTACGAGTTACAACAACTTCTATTGACAATGGTTAATAGTGAAGAGGGGTAAGGTGCAGCCACCACTGAGGGCGGGATACGATTGTGAAGTTATCTTGTTAATATTTTTGGTTTATTTGTAATTCACTCAACTATAATTTTCAATTTCTACACAATTAGACAGTTTTCCCAATGTACGCACTATTACAGCTCTATAAGAGACAAATGTGGTATATGTATCTAAACAAATACAAATACAGAGACAAATAAGGATCCTGTAGAAACAGATTTTCATTGTCTCTATAGTCCATTTTTCTTGTAGTGACATTACCCTTTTCTTAAATACTTCTTGAAAAGATGCAGAGAAACTCTATTTCATCCTGCAAAAGTTACAGCAGGATAAACTACTAGGCATACAAATTGAAACAATAGTGTCATGAAAGAAGTTTAAACATAAATAATATATTCGACGACCCTTCTACCTTATGCAAGTTCATCGACCATATGCTATTGTAAATAACAAACCCTATGAAAAGAATTATTAAGAATGAAATAAGATTACTTTCAGTTTTGGATCAACATTAAAACTATTACTTTTTAAAATATTTATTTTTTCTGATACGCGAAGTGATAACGTGCTGTGGCTTTTACTAGTTTAATCTAGAGTCTAGAGATTAATTAATGCTGGAGTTTTACAGCCTTTTCTCCATTCAAAAAATGCAGTTCTCTCCTTAATTTTCGCCAGGGATAATTTAATCCTTTTATTCCATAATTTTTCCCACTTCCCGCCCAAAAACATCACTCCGCCGTTGACAGTTTATGCCCTCTTGCTTTAGCCTTCTGTTAAGCCCATTACAAAAGCCCATCTGACCTGTTACACTAATTATATGGGCTGCTTTGATTTTAGCCCATTGTGGCATCAAAGGAATCATCAAAACAACTTACGGCTGGTTTCCACCTGCTGTGCATCGGCGGATCGGCCAACCTAGAGAAGCCGCCACCAAGTTACCAAAACTAGAGAGTTTCGGCCTGGGAAAAGGTGGAAAACCCCCGAACATCATCTCGTCATCCGAGCGGCGACGACGACAACGACAAACAGTGGGCACCACCCAGCGGCGCCAGTGACATCGGCACATAAACATCGGCGGCGGCGATCTTGGCTTCCCACCTGTAATAGCACAAAAGCAGCCGAACTCAAAACCCATATCTAGCTTGGTCCCTGATTAGCGGACTGCCTGCGTTCCAAATTTGTTTGTCTCCTTGCATTTCAATCACCAACCCCAGGTATGTAACTGTATTATTCTTTTTGCCTTTTGTTCATTTGGATGAGGTAGATTTTCCTCTACCAAACAAATGAGAGCCTTCTCTGTCCAAAACCATAAAGTTAGCTTTTTTGCACCCTCAATTTTCCAATTGAACCACTAGCGCCTAGGTAATGTTGTTGTCTTCTCCATTTCCCTTTTGTCCATTCCCAATTTCCCATGGTTATGGTTTGTGGTGTACCCGACTAATTAGAACCTGCTCACATGATGTTCTTCCAAGCAGCTCATGGCAACCGGGATGTCGCCAGGGGAATCATCATCTTCAACAACTCAGCCCACTATGGCAGTGCCCTGTAATTATCATAGCAGAAACTTTGTCTGAATTCCGATACAATTATGCAACCCTGCTCCCTATTTCTAACCGTTGAAAATTTGGTCTCTGAAGGGAAAGGTAGAGCTATTCTACCTCAACACTGCGAGACTGAACCATGAGGTTGCGCTGCCGTTGAGAGCATACATAACCGAATTTGACGAGGTCATTATCTTATTTCTCTATCCATAGGGTACTGGTATGTAAGCATATAAATTAAAGGTAGATAAATTGTTAATGTGAGGCAGAGACTGAAGCTTTGGAAGGACAACTAAAATTCATCACTTCTGAGCTCGGCAAGGCTTCTAGGAATAAAAGACGTTCATTTCATAGTTCCAAACGAGTCAACAACCAAGGTATGTCCCCCAAATGATGGTAACCAATACGAACACACCCTATTATATGTCGTACTGCTTATCGTACACTTCACTATGTTCATTTTCTTGGTTTTCGTAGGTGACGATGAAAAATGTAGAAAGCTAGCAGCTGCACGAAATCGACTGTTACGCTGCCTACATCTACATAAAAGGCGTAATGGTCAGACTTTTAGGTGGATTTCTCATATGCAAAGTATGTCGTCCTTATTATCATAACTAACAATTTGTGTCCGACTTCTGTAGTTGCTTATGGGATTTGAGTGTTATAGAGGCATTTTCCATATTCTACAGTTCATCATCTTGGTTATGGAAATCAGAACTCTTATGTTATATATTTTCAGGACTTCCCACTGTTGAAGTGTTCAGTGTTGGAGAACCATCATGTATTTGCCAATTTTGTCAAGCTTCCATGTGGCGTCTTGAGAGCACGGCTTCGACACGGAACAAATTCTCCCTATGAGCCTCCTACAACTCGAAGGCTTGCATTTGACTTTTCTCATCAAGATTACTGAGTACAACTACTCAAATGCACAACTCTGCTTGCATTTGACTTTTCACTGTTGTTGAAATCCACAAAGAAAAGATCAAAGATGACAACTCTGCTTCTACCAAGGTTATACTATACCTTTGTGCTTCTTTTCTTTCATAAATCTTTCAATTGGCATTCCTTTATTCCTAACAACCACATGTTTGTCGATGTTAGGAAGAGACAAACACATTGAAGAGAGTTAATTCATCTTCCCAATCTTTAATAACAACGGCTTCAGCCTCGGCTCCATCACAACAAGATTCAGCTGTCATCACTACTGATGCTGCTGATGTTGATGGGACCAAGACCAATGTGGACTCTTCTGTGCAGGAGATTGGTGCGGCACAAAATGATGGGACCAATCCAGGAACTTCTACCACCAACTCCAAAAGGAAGTTTGGCGCTCTGAGTGATGTGGAGGATAACTAATAGTTTTGGTTTTGTCAACTGTTGGGGAGTTGTTTCAGTTTAGTGACGGGGATTAGAATTAATAGTGTTGGTTTTGTGAATTATTGGGGAGTTGTTTCAGTTTTTACTTACTCCTAGACAATTACTGGTTGTTTTCCTCTATTAGCTACAAGGGTCACTTTGAGCCAATTGCTTTTAATTTTTCTTTAAAACTACTTTATTTTTATTATTGGATTTATTCCTGGGGAATGCTACAACTTCGGTAGCTTTCTTAGTTTACATCTCTACCATTACCTTTGTTTTTGGGATTGTTATTTTCCCACTTTGCTGCGTCCTAAATTACTTTAGGGAAATACAAGTGATTGTGTTTGACATTTGTAAAAATTGTACCTACATTCAAACGTAGCCACTGAGAGGGTTTTATTTGGATGAGCAATCCATGCATGAGCTTGAGTATGTTAAGAGTGACTGATCAGTATAAATAAATTTTATTTATTTATGAGTATTGGACAAGTTCAATGTATTTATAATACTTTCTTAACATATTAGCCTTTTACCACTTATCACCCCATGTGAAAGTTCTCGAAGAAGCAATTTCTACTATCTTTGTCAATATTGACCTTCATTACAACCATGTACGTAAGACTATGCATCTTCTAAGTTACAATCATATACACAAGACTATAAATTTTCTAAGTTTTGGTAACGTGCATTTGATTTAGATTGGAAATAATTGCACACCTATAAATTTTCCGGCCAACGGGCCGGGCCCAAGCTAGTTAACATAGATGATGGCAAAACTCAGCTAAACACGTTTATGTAGTATTCAGAGAATTAGTATACTCTCTCCTTCTACTTCTAGACTCTAGTTCTTGGCCGGTCCGCTGCCGGCTCCAACTTGGGGAAGCAACTGGAGAGTAGAGTAGACACATCTACACTCTCTTTCGTCATGTTCGATCACGCCAGCATCATTGCGGGCAAATTCAGCACGTTGATGATGCATATATGCAGTGTGAGCTCCGACTTCCGTATGATTGTCGGCCTCTCGTCTCTTTTGTGTTGGCCGTATGGAGGCAGACCATTAATTAGGACTATTACAATTCAATTACTTCTCTCGTAACCTTCTTATTATTTATTATTAGGAACGATTTCCACACTGCTATGGAATTCCCAAGAGGAATGAATGAAACCAAAAGAAAGATGACAAACCTTTCCATTTCATCACTAACCTACGAGAGGAAGATACTCATGCATCTAAGACAAAAACTCCACATCCCTCTTCCACCTCTTCCCATCTCTCTTTCTCTTTTCTTATTGGAGCAACCACAATACGTCTTCTTACTCCCACCTCTGTTTCATTGTCAAAACGAAAGGCTTGTCCTGTTCCATACAACCTTCTCCGTACGCCAAAAGATGTCATGTCCTCCACTTCTTTCCTCCATCTCTTCCTCTATTTATATATTCTCAGCTAGCTGTTAAGGACTCAAAACGTAGTAGATATTGTTCTGCATCTTCAGTTAGCGAGCAGAGCAGCAGCAGCCATGGATGAAATCAGCTGGATCATCGTCGCCGCCGTCATCACCTCTCTGGCTCTCCTAGCCTGCAAAAACCACATCTTTCCCTCACACAACAAGCTCCCACCAGGACCCTTCTCCATCCCAATCATCGGCACCTTCCTCTGGGTGCTGAGAAGCAAAGGATTCTCCGACCTCGAACCTCCGCTCCGCAAGCTCCGCGACAAGTACGGCTCCATCGTCAAAATCCGCATCTTCTCCCGCCCAGCCATCTTCATCTCCTCCCACTCCCTAGCCCACCAAGCCCTCATCCAAGACGGCGCCGTTTTCGCCGACCGTCCGCCCGCTCCCCCTGTCACCAAAATCGTCTCCACCAACCAGCGCAACATCAGCTCTGCCTCCTACGGCCTCACCTGGCGCCTCCTCCGCCGCAACCTCACTTCCCAAATCCTCCACCCTTCCCGCGTCAGGTCCTTCTCCCGCGCTCGCTCCTGGGTCCTCCACATCCTCCTCCGCCGTCTCCACCAAGAACAGAGCAGCCAGACCCTGAGGCTGAAGGATCACATCCACCACGCCATGTTCGCCCTGCTGGTGCTCATGTGCTTCGGCGACAGGCTGGAGGAGGATCAAATCCACGAGGTGGGAAGAGTTCAGAGGAGGATGCTGCTAGGTTTCCAGCGATTTCAGATACTCAATCTCTGGCCAAGTATCACCAAATTCCTCCTCCGCCGCCAATGGAAGGAATTTCATCAGCTTCGTCATGAGCAGCATCAGGTTCTTCTCCCTCTCATCAAAGCTAGGAAGGAAAAATTTGGAAAAGGGGACGGGGAAGAAGAACAAGAAGCACGGAATTCCTGCTACGTGGATTCGTTGCTTGAAGTGGAGCTACCCGATGCCGAAGACAATGGTAACAAGAGAAAGCTCAACGAGGAAGAGATTCTGGGGTTGTGCTCCGAGTTACTCGACGGAGGGACCGACACGACTACTACAGCATTGGAGTGGATCATGGCGAACTTGGTGAAGTACCCTGATGTTCAGGAGAAGCTGTTTCGCGAGATCGAAAGCGTGGCGGCGGTGGTGGTGGAAGGAAGTGAGGAGGTTTTGGAGGAGGATCTGGGGAAGATGAGGTACCTGAGGGCGGTGTGCTTGGAAGGATTGAGGAGACACCCGCCGGGTCATTTCGTGCTGCCGCATTCGGTGACGGAGGACACGGTGCTGGACGGCAAGTTTACGATCCCCAAGAACGCTGTTGTTAACTTCATGGTTGCAGAGATTGGGTGGGATCCTAAGGTCTGGGAGGATCCCATGGCGTTCAAGCCGGAGAGGTTCCTGGAAGGAGGTGTCGAGTTTGATTTGACTGGAAGCAAGGAGATCAAGATGATGCCGTTCGGTGCTGGAAGAAGGATGTGTCCTGGGTATACTCTGGCGATGTTGCATCTCGAGTACTTTGTGGCCAATCTTGTGAGGAACTTCAAGTGGGAAGCTGCAGGGGATGTTGATCTGGCAGAGAAGCCCGAGTTTACCGTTGTTATGAAGCACCCGCTTGAAGTCAAGTTGTCCCCTAGGGTTCGAGCCTCCTCGTCGTAGTAGTGCTATACCTTATGCATAATGGTGGTTTGTTTTCCCTTTCGATGTGCAGCCGACGTGTGGCATGGAGGTCGCTCTCTCAGATAAGGATGAGTTCCCTCTTTTGGATTCAGTAGCGGCGGCCTGTTGGGCTGGATAAGTTTTATTGTTACTTGATTAGTTTTTGGATGGGGATTGCCGTGTGTTGACTTTTATTTGATAAAGTAGAGCGGTGCATCTTTTGGTGGCTATCATTTTCATGTTTTTAAGTTTTTTCTACTTTTATGCGGTGTGGTTTTATATTAATTAGCTTTAGTTGGTGCCCGGGGGAATGGATCAGGTCAGTAACTTTATGGTGAGTAACCATGAGTAACCCGTCCACATCAGCATGACATTAGCATCCTCTCTCTCATAGAAAGCCTTTAAATTTTCCCTCTTTAATCTTTGACGGACGATTTCTCGCTCATTTTAAGCCGAAATTTAATTTTTTTTTGCACAGTTAGATCAGATTAATTGTGCTCTTCAAAATGATATCCACTTTAATATATTTTTCGAACAAAAAAAATTGAGCCATTTTTTACCAGCCTATACCATATGGTATTGACTGGTATTGAAATAAAAGCATACCTATGTTTTGAAAAACGTACCATGGTGGTATGAACAAACCAATACTGTAGGATGGTTGAATACATGATAGTAGAAGTATATTAATTGTAATTTACGACTTTTAACATTGTATACCACACAATACCACCCCGTACCAGGGTGGTATTGTATGGTATTGTGTGGTATTTTTTGGTCCTGTAATTTGTTCACCCAGAAATTTGTAGATCCAATAGATCATGATGAACTCGTCCCTTCTGTGCAAACGTTTTCAAAAACGAATTAAAAACGAACAAGATACCATACAATACCACCCCGTACCAGGGTGGTATTGTATGGTATTGTGTGGTATTTTTTGGTCCTGTATTTTGTTCACCCAGAAATTTGTAGATCCAGTAGATCATGATGAACTCGTCCTTGCTGTGCAAACGTTTTCAAAAACGAATTAAAAACGAAGAAAATACCATATGATATGCAGTTGGTACCGAGAGGCCAGAATTTTTTTTCCTCAAAAAATATTGAAAATTGATCTCATTTTGTAGAGCACGGTGAACTCGTTCCATCTGTGCAAAAAAAATTAAAATCCGAGTTAAAACGAAAAAGATATGAGTCAATTAAGAAAACTAGTGAAAATAAAAATAGTCTTTAATTCTCCATCATTAGATCTGGATTTTCTAAATAAAGGGTCCAGATTTGGTTATTGATGGGTGCATAACCCATGGTTATGCACCCTATCTTGAGCCGTGCCCAGGTGGCTCGTAGGTGGATAAGTCTTTTCATAGCTTTAGCAATTTTGTCCTTTTTTCGGCTTCGACTGGCTTTACTGGGCTGGTGGTGCAGGTCTTGTTGGGCTTCGTTATTTATTTGGTCACATTTAGTCAAAGTTGCAGAGATTGTTTGGGCTATTGGGTCTTCATTTTGGTGGGTGATTTTGGCATCCTTATATTCTCTGCTTATGAGATAGGCCTAGTTGGGCATTTTGCTTTATTTGTTTTGAAGGAGTTGGAGAGTCGGAGACGACAGTCTGTTGTGCGGTTGCTTCAATCAGATGTGGTGGAATCTTGAAGTTTCGGTTTTTTTCTTTATTGGCGATGTTTGCCTACTTTTTCTTGTTGTTTTACTCTTCACAGGTACAACAGGGCTGCCCATTTAGTGGCTCAAAAGGCCCTTTCATCGACAATTCGACTATTTGTCGACTGCCGCGTTTGGTTGCTTGTTGTTCTCTGACTGTTTATTTGTTACCATTAACTATGACAAAAAAAAAATCCATCACAAAAATTCAACCAATGAAGAATAGATTTCAAAATCCTAGGAACCCTAAGAACTCAAAATCGATCTACTACCCAAAATCCATTCATTCCATCTTGAAAGTAAACAATACCTGCATAATCATGAATAACAACATGATGATTCTAATCAACTGATACATCGACCATGTCTTTCCAATCTCGCACATGTGGGATAGTAATGAATCCAAGTTAACTCTTTAAAAGAACAAGTAACAAAATCACTATTTTATAGAGTCACATCATAAGTGGTGTTCTATTTTGTAATTAACAAAATCTTTGAGGAGCTTTTGTATCATACAGGTTCTAATTAATTAATTAATTTATGACAATTGAGCCCAAATTGGACCAACATCAATGGGTATTCGACCTGGTTAAAGCGAGGTGAACCCGATGTTGACGAATTTTTGGTTGACGGTGAATTTTTGGGTATTCAACTCGGTTAGAGCGATTTGTAATCGGTGTTAACGAATTTTGGGTCGAGTATAAGTTTTACATGTGTCGCGTGCTCCTGCACCCCACTCGCTGACCGGGCAGCGAAACCCCCGTGACTTCCAGTCGTAGCGGCTGATAGTCCGATTCAAGTCACATCAACAAATCTCCACCTTGACTTGAATCCTCTTCCTATGAAATCTCGGATGTACTCTGCTCCTCCCTCTCCTGCCATCAATGCCCTATAGGGCAGAGTCACCCACTCAAGACATTCAGCAAGTCCAAGCAGTGTTGGAACTTTTCATGTGGAACCGGCTTCTCGAACATGTCAACAGTATTATCCGTGGTGCCAACCTTATTCACCTTAATCCTCTTCTCTGTCTTCAAGAAATGATATCTCACGTCGATATGCTTAGTCCTCTCATGGTGGACTTGATCCTTGGCCAAGCATATTGCACTCAAATTGTCGCAATACACCCCTGCTTGAACATGATGTAGACCCAGATCACCAACGAGTCCCTTCAATCACATTCCCTCCTTAGCAGCTTCTGTCAACACCATATACTCTGCCCCAGTAGTAGACAATGTCACCGGCAACTGTAGAGTTGCCTTCCAGCTCACTACAGAACTCCCAAGAGTGAATACATAACCAGTCACACATCTCCTCGTGTCAACATCTCCAGCATAGTCCAAGTCTGAATACCTAGACACCAAGCACTTTGTATCACTTCCGAAACTAATCCCCACATCAGGTGTACCCTTAAGGTATCAGAAGATCTTCTTCACAACCTGTCAATTGACACGCTACGACACAACAAACAACCTGTGACCAAGTATAATCGCAGTCCGGAAATGCAGAATAGTGGCAAGTTTAATTTATCAACCCGAGGTCTAGATCTACTGCCTACTCTGTGATTATCTATTATCTAGCGGGACTAAGTTTAGTGAGAGTGATTGCAAGCAAATGAAACTAGAAAACAAGTAATAGTCTGGTTCTTTCAAGTTCAAAAGGTCATCCGGATATAAACCCCCCTAGTGTGAAGTTAGTTCAGGTTATACGGCCCCAAATTACTCAGATTGATAGATAAATCAGGGAAAGTTCTTAACTTGTCTGGACTCTCGACTAAAGTGGTCTAGAACCTCTTGATTCGAATACCCGGCGGGCGACTAACCTCCACCGGTATACACTAAACTGCAAAACTCCAGACCATTCTTGACCATTCATGAAAATTAAAGTAAATTTTGAATAATCATCAATAATAGACAGAAAATACATGTTGTCTCCAATGGATTCAACTCGTGAAGGACCCCAATAGTCGGAGTGGAGGTAATCTAGTATCCCCATCGTCTAGTGGATACCCTTCTTGTGAAACTTGCTGCGATGTAGCTTCCCAAACACACAATACTCACAGAATTCCAAATTCTGCACCTTGTGCCCGCAATGAAGATCCCTCTTCGACAGAACTTGCATCCCCCGTTCACTCATATGACCCAGTCTCATGTGCCAAACAGTGGTCATATCTTCCTAATGAACCTGAGACGATGCAAGTGCAACAGAACCTGACAACACATTCCTCCGTAATGCATACAAGATACCATGTTTCACGCCTTTCAGTACCTTTCTAGAACCCTTGCAGACATACACAACTCCACCTTTTCCTTTGGAACTGAAACTCTTATTGTGGAGTAGACTTAAGGAGATCAGGTTCTTTGTCATTCATAGAACATGCCTGACATCATTCACGGTACATAACGAATCATCATGTGTCCGAACCTCTATGGACCTGATTCCAATAACCTTGCAGGCACCTCCATTTGCCATGACCATGTTGCCACCATCTATCTGCTCGTAGGTTGTGAAGCAATCCTTGTTCGGAGACATATGTATGAGGCTGCAGTATCCAGAAACCACACATCACCAAGATGTGTCTCATCTACAGCTAAGGCGAGATCGTCTTCAGAACTATTGTCCACTTCTACCACGACAACTGAACCATGGTTCTTCTATTGCCCTCTTTTCTTGGGACAGTTGTATTTCCAATGCCCCACTTCCTTACAGTTGTGACAAGCATCACCTGGTTGTAGACCGGGACCCTTGGAATTATTGTTCGAATTCCCTTTACCAGATTTCTTCTTTCCCTTTCCACCTGTGATAGCCACCCCGATGCTTCACCACCTGTACCAGATCCGGGCACCTTATGTCTAATCTCTCTCGTGTGAAGAGCATATCTGACATCCTCCAACGACAAACTATCTTTATCAACAATAAAAGAATCCACAAAATTCTCATATGAACTCAGCAAAGACACAAATAGGATTAGGATAGCATCTTAATCATCAACTTTCACATCTATATTGCGTAAATCCAACAAAATAGAATTAAGCTATTCCTGATGTTCCCTCAAAGGCGTACCTTCTTGCACTCTCAAACTGAACAACCGTTGCATGAGATGCAGCTTGTTGGTTAAAGACTTCATCATATACAGACTCTTCAGCTTTAACCACAAGCCTGCGGCAGTCTACCCAGCAACGACTTCAATGATGACATCATCAGAAAACGATAGCATGATGGTCAAGTGGGCTTTCTCCTCCAGGGTATTCCACTCATCATCATCGACCGCTGCCTTCTTCTGTTTCGATGACAGCGGCCCCACAACCTTTGTTGTTTCAATAAAGCCTGCATCTTGATCTGCCATATAATGAAGTTGTTCTTCCTCGTGAACTTCTCGATCTTCATGTTTACCGACATCATTCTTCAGAATTGAAACCCTAGCCTGATTTCCAGTCGCGGCTCTGGTACCACTTGTTATCACTAAGAATCTACGGATCGCCGAAATTGAGAAAGTAAGAATACAAAAGCGATAATCGAAAATAGACACATCATTTACATGGTTCACTAACACGATGTGTGATAGCTACATCCACGGGCAAGAGAGAGCCACTTTTCACTATATCGAGGATATTACAGATTAAAGAGGAGTGTGAGAATTATTTATAGTACTTCTCCTAGGTCTAACCCTAATCCAATCTGGTAAAGAAAAAGCGATTACAACCAGGCCAAAAACCTGAACCAAATAACATTGAGCCTATGACTTCCAGTCGTAGCGGCTAATAGTCCGATTCCAGTCATATCAAAACTCTGACCTAGTATAACCAAATTCCTCCTCTGCCGCCAATGGAAGGAATTTCATTAGCTTCATCATGAGCAGCGTCAGGTTCTTCTCCCTCTCATCACAGCTAGGAAGGAAAAAATTGGAAAACAGGGGAAAGAAGAACAAGCATGGAATACCTGCTACGTGGATTCATTGCTTGAAATGGAGCTACCAGATGTCGAAGACAATGGTACCAAGAGAAAGCTCAACGAGGAAGAGATTCTCGGCTTGTGCTTCGAGTTCCTCGACGCAGGGACTGACACGACTGCTATAGCATTGGAGTGGATCATGGTGAACTTGGTGAAGTACCCTGATGTTTAGGAGAAGCTCTTTCGCAGGATCGAAAGCGTGGCGGTGGTGGTGGAAGGAAGTCAGGTGGTTTTGGAGGAGGATATGAGGAAGATGCGGTACTTGAGGGTTGTGTGCTTGGAAGGATTGAGGAGACATCCGTCGGGCCATTTATGCTGCCACATTCAGTGACGGAGGACACGGTGTTAGACTTACTATGCCCAATAACGCTACTGTTAACTTCATGGTGGCGGAGATCGGGTGGGATCCTGAGGTCTGGGAGGATCCCATAGCGTTCGAGCCGGAGCGATTCCTAGAAACTGGTGGCGGCGAGTTCGATTTTACCGGAATCAAGGAGATCAGGATGATTCCATTCGGAGGTGGAAGAAGGATGTGTCCTGGGTATACCCTGGACATGTTGCATCTCGAGTACTTTATGGCCAATCTTGTGTGGAACCTCAAGTGGGAAACTGCAGGGGAGGTTGATCTTTGGAAGAAACCCGAGTTTCAGGGACAGAGCTAGCTTGTAAGTTGGGGAGCCATGGCCCCCCCTAACTTTACAAATATCTTTGCAAATCCCCATTGATAAGTAAACGAATGTAACCGAAATGGTGAAGTTGATGTTTAAAACTTTGGATAGAGAGTGAGGGCAAGGTTTCGAAATGCAACACCTTCCTTTTTTTTAACCCTTTCTTTTTAGCTTCTAGAGTTCTAGTGGGGTAACTTGAGTTTTAGAAAATTCTTCAGCTTCTAGAGTTTTAGTGAGTTAACTTGAGAGGTTATTGTTAATAATCTAATATAGTTGTTCATTAGAGGTTATGCTAATATTGTGAAAATATTTCACTCATAGAGTAGTAATTTGTGAAAAAGTATAAATGCATACTCCTAATATTTGAAAGGTTTATCTTGATACTATTAGTTTCTGAGAAGATTTCAAAATTTTATTAAAAATCTCTTTGTTAACTTAAATTTACAACTTGGTGAACTATAAGTGACTATATCTAACTTGTGTATTAGCTTCTAGAGTTCTAGTGGGTAACTTGAGTAATCCTTTAGCTTCTAGAGTTCTAGTGAGTTAACTTGAGAGGTTATTGTTAATAATCTAATATAGTTGTACATTAGAGGTTATGCTAATATAATTAGTTTTTTGTGAAAATATTTCACTCATAGAGTAGTAATTTGTGAAAAAGTATAAATGCATACTCCTAATATTTGAAAGGTTTATCTTGATACTATTAGTTTCTGAGAAAATTTCAAAATTTTATTAAAACTCTTTTTGTTAACTTAAATAATAAGTGAATGTGTAATCTCGTGCACAAGTTAGATATAGTCACTTATAGTTCACCAAGTTGTAAATTTATGGATAAATTTGTTCAATTAATTAAATTTTAAGAATAATTTTTCAAGAATGTAGGAAAATATTTTCATCATTATTTTACCGAGAAAGAACATTTTCACCGCCCCCCCCCCCCCCCCCCCACCCAATTTTACATCCTGGCTCCGTCCCTGACGAGTTTACAATTGTTATTAAGCACGCTCTCTAGGTTAAGTGGTTCCCCAGGGTTCGAGCCTCATCTTCGTAGTGATGATATACCTTGAATGCATAATGCACAGTTCAGGAGTTCGATACTGCCTCCTTGCATGAATATATAGAATGAATTTGCGTGTATAACTCAATCCATAGTATATGGTATGAATCAATAATATTTTTTTACGGGTAACCTGCTCAATATATTAACTCGAAAATGAGGTTACATCATCCAGCTGGAACTGGTAAATCCGAGTAATAGGCGGGCTGTCTAAGGAGACCTCTCTACTATCCCAACAGGTCTCACTATGGGCCATGATATGAGTCGCATTAATAGCCTCTTGTCGAACATGTCCAATACAATCAATGTCAAAACCCGACTCTCTAATGAATCTCTCAATATTTCTATATAGTAGGCAGCGGCCGAGCCAGGATTTCACCGTTGGGGGGGGGGGGGCGGGGGGCGAAGTTTAGAAAGTATATAAATAAAATAAAATCTATCATAAAATATAATTAAATTTTGTATTTATTGATAATTTATTTGTAATATTTGATATAAAGAAATCGCTCAAACAAGAATCTAAACCAAAGTTTCTAAATGAAGTATTCAAAACGAATGCACAAACTATGACCAATGAATTAATTATACACTAAACATGTTTCTCAGGATTTGACCGTCGGCGGGCCGGAGTTTAGAAAGTATATTTGGTAGAATAAAATCTATCATAAAATAAAATTAAAATTTTTATTTATTTATAATTTATCTATAATATTTGATATTTGGTAGAATAAAATCTATCATAAAATAAAAGTAAAATTTTTATTTATTTATAATTTATCTATAATATTTGATATAAAGAAATCGCTGCCAACAAGCCTCGAACCCAAGGTTGTCAAACCGCGGGTCGACCCGGACGAGCTAGTGGGTCATGGGTCAATGGGTCACCCGGTTTAGCCTGGAAATATGGAAAATATAATTATATAATACTTATCCTGAATCCAACATAAAAAAAATGCAACACTACTTCAACTCCAACACACTTAAATAACATCAACTTAAATTCAAAATAGTAAAAATTCAACAACACTTAAATCATTCGCAAAACAATAAACATCGCATATATCTTTCATTCCATTTATTGGAACCAAGTCCCAAACCCTTACCAAATGACTATGACTCAGGGAACTAAAGGTAATGGAGAGGCTCGGGTTGCAAATAATGGAAAAGAAAAGACAATGAGAAGATGGTCTCCGTCGGCGAAGGAATTGGTGACCGACAATGAGAAGGGTGGAGGCACAGGCGGCCGAGGCGGAGGCCGAGCAGAGGCGGCCGAGCTGAAGGGAGGGGAGACGGAACGGTGACGGCCAATCTACGAAGATGATTCTCTCCGCCGGTGACCGGAGCGCGCCTGACACGCCAAAACACAACACCAAACTGCGACCAAGTGTAATCGCAGTCCGGGAATGCAGTAACAGGCAAGTTATATTATCAACCCGGGGTCTAGATCTACTGCTTACTCCGTGATTCTCTATTATCTAGCAAACTAATTCGAGTGATTGTTGTTTAAAAGCAAAAGCAGTAAGAAAGCAGTAAACTGTTCGGTTTTCTAAAGCAGGTAAGAGTCACTCGGGAATGAGTCCCCCTAGCCCCTTAGTTAGGTTCAATTGTAATTCCCTGGGTTGATTTACTGTTGATTAGACTGCGGAAGATCCGACAGTAGCTTGGAATCTCTTAAGCTGACCAAGCCCTCTCAGTCTAACTACCCGGCAGACGACTAGTCTTCACCGGGATAGAAAGCTGAAGCAGTAAGCACAGAAATCCACTACTGGAATTGAGTTCCAGTACAAAGCAGTAAACTGGCTAACTCTCGTATAGCCAATCTCCTACTATCGAATGAAGAAGCTCTAACAACCTAATCAGATTCTATCTATCTCAGGTTGCAGCAGAAATTGAGAAAAGCTAATCAGACTCCAATCAATTCAATAAACATTCATCATTCGATTAAACTCAAACAATAATATCATCCCAAGTCATTACAATCAAATCCCTAACAAAAGGAACTAGGGTTCTTCATACCCAAGTGAGAGAAAGGTTCTACTCTATAGAGAGAGAAAGGAAAACAGAAATCAGAGTAGTCATACTCATAAAGATGAGGAAAATCTGCTCTGGGATGTCAATCTTCACTCCTAGGGACGCAATCTGGGCTTCAATGATGAGAAATCCACTCCAAAATAGCTCCTAGGGTTTGTTCTTCGCTCTTTCTCTCTCTAAAACTCCGTTTTTTGCTTAGAAAATCGAATTCCTCTTCCTTGGCTCGAATCTGCCTCCAAAAACCCGACTCTGGGCGAATTACGGGCAGAATTACGGCCGTAATCACGTCCTGCCCGTAATTCGCACCAAAACGCACGTTTCACTTAAGCTGCAGGAGGAGGAGATACGCCCGTAATTTCCCAATTACCGCCAGTAATTTGGGAATTACGGTCGTAATTCTTGGGGTCTTGCCCGTAATTTTATCACGGAGAGGAAATTATGGGGAGAAGGCTCGGCCATTAATTTACGGGCATGCCCTGGCCAATTACGGTCGTAATTTGGCAGGGGCTGCCCGTAATTCTGTCTGTGATTCGCCATCTGACCTCCAAATGACCCGAAACTTGCGCCTATGCACCTCCTTACTTGCTAGGACCTGAAATACGACAAAACAACACAACCTAGCGTAAAATAGGCCAAGGAACAATCAATTCGAGCCAAAATGGGCAGGAAACCAGAGTGAAAACACGTGCAAATACGATGCTATCAAATTCCCCCACACTTAACTGTTTGCTTGTCCCCAAGCAAACCAAGTACTACACAAGGTAAGCTCACATATTTCAGTCAACCAACATCGGGGACAAGTCATAAAGGCATAGAACACATGAATCATATTGGTTTTTAAACATCAACACATGAACAACTTTAATAGCAACCTAGACAACAATCACAAAGGACATTCGAGTGCAGCAAAATCGAGCAACGGAAGAGTTTCCCCTCTGTTCACCAACCAACCGAGACTTGACTCGACCACTCACTCAAAACAGTCAACTCATGCATCCAACTCAAGACATCAGAACAGAGACCGAGCAATCTAGGTCCTCACCGGGGTACAAGAGTATAGAGAATATGAAAATGAATCACTCACTCTCGACCAGTGGGGTCAGGACAATTTAATGCGAAAAATGCGCATGCTATTTCTCTCAATCCCTAACATCTCTTCACCATGATGGCAGCCTCTAAATGCTAGAGTTCACATACATAATGTCATCACTAACTAATCAGGAGGTCTTAGACACAGGTTCAAATGACTGGCTAGGGTCTTGGACATGGGGAAAAGGCCTTTTAGGTGGTGGAAGTATTCATAGTAAAAGGTTCCACATTTCCAAACCCACACAATCACAGTCAACAACCCGGTATTCCCTTTCTGCTATTCTGCAATACTCAACATCTCAAGAGCACAAGAGCGAAGGAGGCATAAACATCAGCATTTCCAAGCCAGACTGCTAAGAAACACTACTTAATGGGCATTATTCAGTTTTTTGGTAGTGACTCTCTTTTGCTTTCAATTTTTCTTTGTTTTTCTTTCATTTTTCTTTTCATTTCTTAAGAGAGCCACCACTTCCGCACATATTTCAAACATCTGCCCAACTTTTAAGCACTACCTCCAACACTCACATAAACTTTAGCAGAAACAGCAGATAATATGTAACAACCACTCTGTGGAACCTTCTAAAAGATGCAACAAGGGTGATTTTTTCGTTATAGACCAAAAGAAAGGATAACACACGGCTCAAAGGGACTGACTAGGGGATATGACACATCAGGACAGTCAGTTTTGGGCGTGGGCTAATCCTATGCCCCCATCATCTTAGCTAATGACAACGTGAATGCTACACATCATGGAAGAGGGATCTATCGCACAAGAAAGAAACGAGCAGGCTCAAATCTCACATGGCTACCTATA